CGCAGGCTGAGAAGCACCGCGAGGCGGCGACACTTCGGACGAGCCTCGCGGAGCAGAGGCTGCGGATGAACGTTGGACATGGGGGTACGGCCAGGGGAACGCCATTGCAATCAAAACTCAGTGGACTGCAGTGAATGAATGTAGTGGCCAATTGAATGCAGAGGACTGCAGTGTCACTAGCAAGTCCTGAACCAAACACAGCTGTGGCGGAAGGAGTATGAAGCGTCTGGCTATTCAAAATGTGGCCCGGGAATGGAGTTCTGGGAACTCGAAGACCAGGAAGTGGACTAGAGTTGGCTCCGGGCATCCAAAATGTGGCCCGGGAATGGAGTTCTGGGAAATGGAAGAGCACGAAGTGGCTTACAGTTGGCTCCGGGCATCCAAAATGTGGCCCGGGAATGGAGTTCTGGGAAATGGAAGAGCACGAAGTGGCCTACAGTTGGCTCCGGGCATCCAGAATGTGGCCCGGGAATGGCGTTCTGGGATGTCGAAGAGCACGAAGTGGCCTACAGTTGCATCCGGCCCCCCAGAATGTGGCCCGGGAATGGCGTTCTGGGATGTCGAAGAGCACGAAGTGTCCTACAGTTGCATCCGGCCCCCCAGAATGTGGCCTGGGAATGGAGTTCTGGGAAGGCGAAGAGCACGAAGTGTGTGACTGTTGGTGAAAAACGAGCCCGGCTCACTGCCGCCCGGCAACTCCCAACACCTGCCCGGACCCCCCTGTGGAGTGATCTGCTGCTCTCTTTTGATCCCACTAGAAACCTATCAGTCTCCGCTGTTAGGTAAAAATAGAAACAAAACAAATCGTGCCCAAAACTATTTTTCACTACCCTTGTAGGGGTCGGAGGATCGCGCCGCATCGCCGATGCATCGCCGATGCATTGGCGACGTCGGCGATGCACATCGGCGCTGCCGGCGTAGAGAAGATCGGGCCCCCACATCGAGCCGCGTCGCCGATGTATCGGCGCTGCGGAGCGATCCTGCGACGCCACACGCTCGGACCCCATCTGGGAGGCCGAGACTACTCCTCACCACTGCTGGACCACTAGCCCTCCGACCCTGCCAGCCGAGGCCGTCAGCCGTCCACACCCCGGCTGGCCGGCTTTGCGGCTCCCCAGACCCCGGACGTCATGATTTTTCCATGGCGTGACCCTCAGAAGTCTGGACCCTTTCCCGGGGACCGGTTTTTCATCCTGAGTCGCTTTTTGGCGGTCCCGAGGCCCGGCGAGAGCCTCTGGAGGCCGAAACTGGCGAAAACCCTCCCGCCACGATTTTTCGCGACGCGAGGGGTTCTGGGGGGGCGGGCACGAGCCGGGAGCAGACCACTGGAGCGCACCACCGGGCCCGGTTGTTGAGCAGGGACCGACCGTCCCGACATTCCTACCACGAAATATTCTTAGAACCCAAAAATGCTCTAAGAACAAAAACAATGTACATAGAACATAAAGCCGATGTGCTAAAATAAGACAGACTCCGCCAGAAATGTTTAAAGAACATTTCGTGGAAACCACCAAATGTTCTTAGAACATTGTTTGGTAGGGCGATAGGCGAGCCAGGACGCTTCGCCACTGCTTGAGGTTGAGCCGCGCGGGGAGGGGGGGGGGGGCGCAGCCGCGCCAAGGCCGCGGGGGGGAGGCGCGCGAGCTCGTGCGCGGCAGCGCTGAGCGGCCTCCGCGCCCTGCCTCGGGCGGAGCGTCCTGCCGGGTGGGCGGGGGGGGCGATTTGTCCATGGGCACCGCCTCGGGGAGCGATCTTCGGGGGCCTCGGCAGGCAGTGGCTATGGTTGTGGGTACGTACAAATACACATATATATATGTATCCATAGAGAGAAAGATTTAGATATAGGTACGTTCTAGATCTCTCTCTCTACATGTATATATATGCATATATACATACATGTTCATGTATGTGTATACACACTTATACACACATGCATATATTTATATGTATGTATTTATGCACCAACTGTGTACATACACACGTACATGTGCTCATGTGGCACTCCCAGGGCCCGAACGAGTCCACACCCGCCGCCTGCCGAAGTCCCCGAAGGTCGACCCCCCGGACGGTGGTCATGGACGAAGCCCCGCCTCCGGGGAGCTTGGACGGCGGAGGTCACCGCCCTTCCCGGGACAGCCGGCCAGCACGGAGGCAGTGCCACGCATCGGAGATGCCTTGCGTCCGCTGGCTGCGCCGCGGGTTGGCGAAGAGAGTCGCAGGCTTGCGTGGCAGCATCGCGGCCGAGGTCCAGAACGCCACAGCCGCCACACGAGCTGGTAGTCGAGCCATCCCTCCGCCTCCCGCCAGGGATCGTCTGCCCCAGCATTATCGGCATGCCCATGGACTCTGACCTGGAGGAGAGCCCCACATGGCAGCCGAAGCAACCCAAAACTGCGAGCGGCGAGATGTTGAGACGGCAACATCGTGACCTCGGCGTAGCCAGGCCCTCCTTCGGAGTCACTCAGCGAAAGGCCGCGGAAGCAGGGCGGGAGAACAAGCAATGTCATCTTTGCTTCGGGGAGGCGTCGAAACCGGAAGACGTGCAACGCCTGGGTGTTCTTGGAACGCGTGTGCCTACCAATGATACGGTCGAACTGCTTCTAGACCTTCCCTACGACGGCCACCGCCACCAACTGGAGGTCGCGGGACCCTGCTCTGCTCGCGGACAAACAGGCCAGCTTCCACGAACGAGCAAGTGCGAACGAACGCATTCGGGACCAAGCAGGGGAGCTACCGATATCATACTCAGCGAGTCTCCCAATGGAAAAGACGTGATTAGCTTCAGGTCCACGAAGCCCCCGACCTCGATGCGTTTGACCTGATCGGTCCATACATCAAAACCGCTAGGATATGATGGGACACTCAAATGGCATCGACGATCTTGGGATCAATCCCGTCGAGCGTGGTACTTGCCTGGCTCCAGAACAGGGAAATGCTCGTGCCCGGAATGCTCACCGATAGTACCATTACTTGGTCCACTCCCAAATGCTGCGCGCCTCCTCTCCGCAAGTCGCTGAGAACGGGTTCGACTCCCGCAGCCCCCCCCCGCGCAAGCAGAGCCCGGGAGAGAGGACGCACGCTCACCCCAGTCGTCACCGCGTCATCGAGAGGGAAGGCGCGGCCTCGGCCGAGGGCGGCCTGTACGCGCTTGATCTCCCCGAGAACCTTCATCATATCCTCCCTGACCTCGTCTTTCGTCCTGTGGTCTCTGTTCTTAGACTCCAGGACGTACCGTTGCGTGCTCAAAAGCTCTTCTGCCTGGAGGATGGCAAGGGGAAGGAATGAGGCCCATGCGTTCGGTGGCGGCAGAGGCGGAAGCAGCAGCCAGAACAGAGCGATGAGCTGGTGACCGAAAGAAGCAGGTTGCAAAGAGAACGTCAGGGTGCACGAGGAGAACAAGTAGCGTCACATGGACACAAGAGTGCCAAAAAAACAAGGTGTCACACACCGCTTCTGATTACGCAGGGATGCATAAACGCAGCTCAGGGCAAGAGCTGGTAATGAGCAGTAACGTTGACGAAGCTGGTACCTCCACGAAAAATCTGGAACGCGCATCATGAATCGTTAGTCATTGTCCGCCTTTCCAGCCCCCTTCCACTCCGTCTCCTCCTCCTCCTTCTCCTCCTCCTCCTCCTCCTCCTACTCCTCATTCTGCCACCTCGTCACGCCCTAGCGCCTTATACTTTCCACGTTCTTTGGCCTTCTTCTGCTCATCGAACGCATCGGCATGCCGTCGACGCATCCCTCTGGGCACCCGCGCGACAGGAGCATCCTGCCTCAGGATCCATCGACCCCAGCGGACGATGCCGCTGTGGCAGCCGTCGGCCCGCGGTGGCCATTAAAAACGAGCAGCCTTGAGAAGAAAAGGGTCCGCCGCTGGACGGCCTCGGCCTGGCCAGGCAGCCCGCTGCCTCGCGTGCTGCAGTCAAAACGTGTACTAAGGACGGGAGGCCAGGGCGCAAGACCCTTGGAGGCGGAAGTTGGTTTTTGTGTGGGCGGCGGGCAACTAGTGAAATCGGCAAAGGATGGGCCGCAGAGGCACGGACATCATGGCACCCCATGTCAAGGCGCGCGTGCTTACTTGGCGCGCTCCCTGTGGCAGAGGAAGAAAAAACGGCATCAACATGAACTTCTGGCGTTCCGCGAAGATGCTTCTTGAATCCGCGCTGGACCCCCCCTCCCTGGCGCGCGGAGCGCGCCATGGGGCGGCGCTGGAGGCGCCGCTGGAGGGCCCAGCGCGGATCCAAGAAATCCGCGCGCAGCACCCAAAGTTTATGTTTCTTCTGTTCTCTCTTCTTCGCGCTGACTGTAGTACGACTGGGCGTTGGGCTGGAAGGGGCCAGTGGCCTTCACACCGATGCAGTCGGCCTGCTCCTTCGTGCGAGGCTCGTGAGCTGTGCACCGAGCCACGGCAGGCGAAGAATGTCAATCTTCTCGTCGAGATCTTTCGGGAGGAGGCAGGCCGCGTCTGTGTGGCCCTTCTCCTTCGCGGCAAGTCGAGAAGAGAAATGGGTATCGGCACGAACTTTTGGCGCTCCGCACGGAGTTCTTGGGTCCGCGCCGGGGCCCCTGGGCGGCGCCTCCGGCGCCGCCGCATGGCGCGCTCCGCGCGCCAGGGCGGCCCCGCACCCCACAGTGCCACCCCAGTGCTGACCCCGCGCGCGAGCTCAAGGACCGTGGCGCGGGCTACTTGCATAGCCGGAAAAATCTTGTGAAGGGGCCCTGGGACACACAAATACATAGACACACATATTCCCCATATTTTCTCATATTTTCTGGTTTTTTGTCTTCCCCCCACTTCCCATATTTTCTTATATTTTCCTGGGAATCGACGATTAATTGTGTCTGTGTTTTTTCCCCTCCTGATCCTTGCATAGCCGGAAAAAGTTGAGCGATCGTGTCAATGGAACGATGGCGATAGGACGGCGGTGCTCCGACACCGCAAGCAACATTCCCGAGCAAGCACCTCCATGCAGTGTTTTTTCTCCTCAGAATGACACCACGGAGGACGGGTGCGGGGTGGCGCAGCTGAGGCTGAGCAGGCGCCCAGCCGCCAGGACGACGATGCCGTACCCGTCTGAGAAGACATGGCAGGCCACCTGCGGCTTGACGTTCTTCACCTCAACGCCTGCGAACTTCTCCAAGTGTTCCATCTCGATCTCGTTATCGAGGTGGCCAATGTTGCCGACCATGTCGCTGTTCTTCATCTTCTTCATATGCTCCAACGTGGTGGTCTGCAGGTTCCCTGTGATGAACGCACAGATGTCCATCTCGCTGACAGCGCTCTCCATCGCAACCACCTGGAAGCCCTTGATACACACCTGGAGTGCTCGGATAGGGTCACTCAGTGATCAGCACCATGGCACCAGCACCGCGCATGGCGAACGCGCAATCCTTGCCAACATCACCATAACAATAGATGAGCGCACGCTCGCTCCGGATCGTCACGTCTGTGGCACGCATGATGCCATCAGGCAGCGAATGCCTGCACCCGTAAACATTGTCGAATCTGAACGTGGTCACGCAATCGTTCACATTGACGGCTGGGAACAAGAGCTCACCCTTCGCAACCATCTCCTTCAACTGGTGGACGCCAGTGGACCGGAACAGAATCTCGCAGCAAATGCAAGATGCACTTGAGTTCGGCGTTGTCCGTGCTTGCAGAATCGGGAAGGGATCCGTCCTTCGCGAACTTGTCCTGAAACTCCTTGCATGTGTGGATCAGGAGAGTGGCGTCGCCGCCGTCGTCGACGAGCTGGTCGCAGCCGTGCCAACCGGGTACGGCCGACATTGTGCGGTGCACTACCAGTACTCATGGAGCGTCTCCCACTTCCAGGCGAAGACGGTGGCGGTCTCGGCTTCGCGACGGCTGCGGCGGCGTGATCCTGGGTGCTGAAGATGCTCCAGGAGCACCAGCGCAACCTTGGCTACCAAGGCCTGCAGCGTCTCGATCAGGACGCTCGTATTGATGGTCATGTGGAGCGAGCCGTTGATACCCATGCCCTTCAAGGGTTGCTTCGGGCAGAACTCCTTGCGGGCCACCATGAGGCCTTGCACCTCGTGCTCTGACAGGGCCAGTTCTTTGCGGCCGAACTAGGCTAGGCCCATGTCCTTGACCTTGGACTCCGCCGCGGCACTGGAGAGATGCGGCAGCAGGCTTGACGACGTCTGGTTCAATGTCTGAGCGGGTCAGCTGGGTCTGGACCTCCTTCCTTGAGCCAAAACAGTTGTGAAACCTTTTTGTCGTTACACTCCTTCGGAGCAAAGCTGAGGGGATTACAACTACCCTGGCGACGTGTCCAACCCATCTGCAACCAGCGGCCAGAGCAACAGGCCAACTTGTGAAAGCCAAATGGGAGGTTCGCGCGTGGCCCGACCCGCAGGACAAGCCCCGCGGCATAAAATGGGAGAGGACAACAGGCCAACGATGACCGCAAGCGGGCACGAGGGTAGAGACAATTGAATGCACTGAAGAGGACAGAGGAGGCCCTGGGAGTAGGAGTCGAGAGACGAGGAGGCGGGAGCCTGAAGGAGAGCGAAGGGAAGACATTGAATGGGGAGTTGCGGTGCTTGCGCAGTTCGCAGCCCCCAGAGACGGCGAGGTCCAGTTCTGATCCCCGTAAGACACCATTCCTCTGGCCCCCCCCAGAAGTCCACGAAATGGGCGACGGTTTCGCAGATGGCAGCCCCCAGGGACGGCGAGGTCCGTTTCAGGTCTGCGAAATCCACCACTCCGCCAGACCTCCCATGAGCCCACGAAGGTGACCACAGTGGGGCGGCTGCCCAGGGTGACGAGGTCCCATTCCGACCTGCGCATGGCATCCCATAGCTGGATTCCCCAGCAGCTCACGAAACTGGCAAGCATGCGCAGATGGCAGCCCCCCCAGGATGGCGAGGTCAAATCTGGGTCTGCGAGGCCCACCACCCCGCAGAACCTCCAAGGCGGCGACGTGTTCGCAGGTGGCAGGCCCCAGGGACAGCGAGGTCACACACGGGTCAGGGCGTGACGTCACCCCGCTGGACCTCCCAGGAGGTCAAGAAAGTGGCCACTGTGGCGCAGCGGACGGCCCCCCCAGGATGGCGAGGGCGAGCGTGGGTCTGCGTGGTTGGCCACTCCGCTGCGGACCTCCCGGGAGCTCACGACAGCTGCGACAGCAGCGCAGTTGGCAGACCCCTCAAAAGGTGGCGAGGTCAAATTTGGGCTTTAATCCACCACTCCGGTGGATTTCCCAGGAGCCAACGAGGACGACGACAGTGGGGCAGTTGCCCAAAGTGCCGAGGTCCAATTCCGACCTGCGTAAAACACCCCATACTTGTATCTACCAGCAGCCCACGGAACTGGCAAAACATGAGCAGGTGGCAGCCCCCAATGGTGGCGAGGTCAAGTGTGGGCCTGCGTAATCCACCACTCGGCTGGACCCCCCGGGAGTCCATGAAGTTGACGGCAGTGGGCAGTTCACCAGGGTTGCGAGGTCCAATTCCGATCTGCACACGGCACCCCATAGCTGACCACCCCAGGAGCTCACAGAACGGGCAGAACGTGCACAACTGGCAGCCCCCAAGGGTGGCGATGTCGAATGTGGGCCTGCATAGTCCACCACTCCGCAAGGCCTCCAAGGTGGCGAGAGTTTCGCGGGTGCCAGGCTCCAGAGACGGCCAAATCACACCCAGGTCTGGGTATGCCGTCACCCCGATGGACCTCGCAGGAGGCTGCGAAAGTGGCCACCGTGGCGCAGTTGACAGGTCCCCCAAAGGATGAAGAGGTCGAATTTGGGCCTGCGTCGTCCACAACTCCGCTGGGTCCCCCCAGGAGCTCACGGAAGTGGCCACTCTAACGCAGTTGACAGCCCTCAGGGTGGCGAGGTCTAATGCGGGTCTACGTAGACCATCACTCCGCTGAACCTCCCAGGAGCCTACGAAAATTGCGATGGCGGCGCAGCTGGCAGCCCCCGAGGGTGGCGACAGCGGCACGGGTGGCGAAGTCCAAATTGGGTCTGCGCAGCCCACTACTCCGCAAGGCCCCCAAGGTGGCGACAGTGTCGCGGGTGACAGGCCCCAGGGACGGCGAGGCCACACTCGGGTCTGGACACGGCGTCACTAGGCTGGACCTCCCAGGAGGTCACGACAGTGGCGCAGCCGGCAGCCCCCCAGGATGGCGAGGTCGACTTTGGGTCTGCGGAATCCACCACTCCGCTGGACCTCCCAGGAGGTTACGCACTGTGGCGCAGTTGACAGTCCCCCCTAGGATGGCAAGGTCGAATTTAGATCAGCGGAGTCTGCCACTCCGCTGGACCTCCCAGGAGCCCACAGAAGTTGCGACAACGGCGCAATTGGCAGACCCCCCTGGTGGCGAAATCCATTACTCCGCTGGGCCCCCGGGAGCCCACAAAGGAGACGGCAGTGGGGGCAGTTGCCCATGGCGGCGAGAATAAACTCCGACCTGCGTAAGGCATCCCATAGCTGGATCTCCCAGGAGCTAACGAAACTGACAAAAAATGCACACTGGCAGCGCCCCAGGGTGGCGAGATAAAAATGGTCTGCGTAGCCCACCATCCCGCAAGACCCCCCAGGGTGGCGACAGTTTCGCAGGTGCCAGGCCCCAGGGACGGCCAAGTCACACTCAGGTCTGGGTATGACGTCACTCCGCTGGACCTCCCAGGAGGTCACGCAACTGGCCACAGTCGGAGTCCGCCGCTCCGCTGGACCTCCCAGGAGCTCACGATAGTTGCGACAGCGGCGCAGTCGGCAGCGCCCCAGGGTGGCGAGGTCGAATACTGGTCTGCGGAATCCACCACTCCGCTGACCTCCCAGGAGCCCACGAAAGTTACGACAGCGGCACTGTTGGCAGACCCCCAGGGCGGCGAGGTCGAATTAGGGTCTGCGTGGTCCACCACTCCACTGGACCTCCCAGGAGCCAACGAGGGTGACGACAGTAGCGCAGTCGGCAGCCCTCCAGACACGGCGAGGATCTAGGAGGTAGGAGACAGGAGAAGGAAGCAGGATGGAGGCGGGAGAGGGAGGAAGGCAACAGCGCCCTATTCGAAACGATAAGCAACGCAGATTAACGCAGGCGGTAGAACAATCATACTACAGCGCCACGCTCATGATCAAGCTTGGAAGCATGTTCAGATCAGTGGTCTGAGTCATTCGGAACAAACCTGCGGAACCGATCGAAGGCCCCAAAGCGCCCACTGGTTCCGAGGTCCGTGGGGCCCAGGAGCCACCCGACTTGCCGGCGATCTGAGGCCGAGGCTCTCGAACGGTGGCCCCTCTCGAGTCAACATGTGGGCACAGCGGCCCCCTGGGGCTGCCAACCACTGGGCCGTAGCCGTGCTGGCGGACGATCGAGGGCCCTGCAGCACTGCTGCTGCTCCCCTCGGCAGCGTGCCTGCACCGTGCCAGCCAGCGCCCGGCACCCAGCCTGCGACCACCTGGAAGCTGACGGGCCGGCCATCGCCAGCCTTCCCCCGGTTTTAGCCTCCCGGGGACTGCTGCTCCGTGCTGCTGCTGGACAGGTGCGCAGAGGCCAGGCGCGCCGGCCCAAGTGCTGGCCCCGCCAGGGCACCGCAGGGCTCGCCATCGACTGTGACTCGCCTCCTCGCCGGCACCGCCGCCCCTGCAGAGGAGACCATGTGGAGGGTTCTGGAAACCGTGGATCCCCAAAAATACGTCTGGTGGGGCGCAAGTGCTACGTCCGCCAGCATCCGCCAGCGGAGCCGCCCCCATTTTGCCTCCTCCGACTTCCACCGGCCTTCCGCCGCCTTCCACCGGGGAAGAGGGGTCAGATCCTCTTCGACCCCTCAAAGGCGATGCCATGTGACGAGCGCCCTACATGACTGCCACCCCCCCTCCCCCACCCCACGCACAGGGCGAAGGAGAGTCACTCTTAAACGCAGCGCAACTGGGGGGAGGGGCTCAAACCCTGCGCTCTTAGCACTCCCCATCCTGAGCAATCCTTCTTGTTGAACTTATTGCCCGAGTCTGGGCAACTGCCGATTTCTGCCTCCACAACCCCCTTGTGAGCCAGATTCGCACACGAGAACGGACAGCAAGCAACGCGGTCTGATCCGACCCAAGCCGCAATTGAGCGAGCCAAGCCACCCAGTTCACAGTAGATGGGCAGACCGTGTAGAAGCCTACCGACCTCAAATGATGCTCCAACTCATTTGGCCATGGTGCACTGCCCAGACAGTCCACCCGTATCAAAAGGATGCACCGTAAGGATGCAAGGGCCTTGGAAGACCATGCCGAAACTTTGCGAGCTGGGCGCAGCCAGCGAAAGTTGCTAAGGATGGGCCGAAGGGCCAAGGATGCAAAGGTACCTTGGGAAGGTTACTCATCCTTATTATGCGGGTTGGCTGCAAACCCATTGTCGAACAACAAAACCCAATATCGGCCAGGTTCATCTTCATACCGACGTATCCGAAAGCCACATGTGCACCCACTGCCACGAGAAGGGCGCTCTGCCTCACCAGGGTGCGGTGGAAGACGGGCGAGCGCCCTCGTGGAGACTGCCAAGGTGACACGTGGGCGCATCGGGTGCACGAAACGCTGCCCAAAGGCAGCAGTCACCAGAGCGGCTCCTCCGACGCGTCGTCATCGACCATGATCATGATCATGATCATGATCATGATCATCATCATCATCATCATCATCATCATCAACATCATCATCATCATCATTATCATTATCACCACCACCACCACCACCGTCATCATCATCATCATCAGCAGCATCATCAGCATCATCATCATCATCATCAGAATCAGCATCCTCGTCATCATCACCATCATCAGCAGCATCATCGTCAACAGCTACAGCAGCAGCAGCAGCAGCATCCGTATCATTATCGTCATCAGCAGTATCACCATCATCATCAAGATCCGAATCATCAGCATCATCGTCATCAGCATCATCCTGATCATCATTATCATCACCATCAACAGCATCATCAGCATCATAAGCATCATCCTCAGCATCGTCATCATGGTCATCATCATTATCAGCATCATCATTATCATCATCGTCATCCTCATCAGCAGCAT